TGTCGATTCCAGTTTCATCAGTTTCATTAAGCTTGTGGAATACATCCGATGCAACCAAATTGGAGTCTTTGTGGAACTCGTCCTCCGTGCAGCAGTATGCAAAGACTTTTCTTTGGTCATTGGTTGATCGGATGCACCTTCTACCATAGTCAAGTTATAAAAGTAAAGTTGATGGCTATAATAGCGTATTGATTGATTGAGTAATTTCGGAAGGGGAAGGTTTTTTGGCAGTCGAAAGAGATGATTTTTAATCCGTCAGCCTTTTCACGCAATTTGTAAAAAAAGCCTGCCCTTAAATTATGCACTGTTTTTTGTGTTATCAGCAAATTATTTTGGGTGGATACAGTCCTAGTTTTAATTTTTTCTGTTAGCTCGAGACATGTTGCGCAAACATCCGTACGAGATGATCCAAATCCGAGGTCATTTATTTGCATTATTAACTTCACTTCACAATTTGCCCACTCAGATTTTTTGTACATGTCAAATAGTTTTTTTATATTTAGCTCAGCAGGCAAATATTTTCTTACGGCAAATTTAGCCTTGCGGCAATAATGCGACTCTACGCACTTCAAACTTTGTACAAATTTGTGAACAGATTCTTTCTGCTGTGAATATTTTTTGTTTTTCGAAACCCACCACGTGTCTCATGTGTTATTTCACCAGCGTAATAAAACCTTTTCATGACATAATTTACCCTGTGCTTTGTGATTCCGAAAAGCTTCAGATTTTTTTTTGGCAAATAGTTATCCTTTGTTTGTTAACAAATACGGCGTATTTTATTGAAGTTTGTTTGGAAACTGTTGGGCGGGTTCTCTTTGAAATGGCCTTAATCGAACAAAGTTTTAAAATTATAGCGGAATTTAAAATATAATTTTTTTACCTATTAAATAGGATAGAGAATAGAGGAAAGAGCTACATTTCAACCTTATTTCAATACCTGGACCAAGTTATAGATGTGTAGCAAAACTATAATTATATTATGAAATAATTGCGATATTTGATAATAAAAATTACATAAGTTTGGAAGCAAAACATCCAAAAACCGAACTTATTATATGATTTGGAGGCCTTTATAGCTGTTCTGTTTAAGGCAAATTTTCTTGAATAGGACAATACAGATGTCACCAGAGGGTCAGAGAGTATCTAAAGACAAGGTAACCCGTGCATTATATCTGTCTGGATCAGCGATCAGACGAAAGTGCAGGCATGGCTGCGAATCATCTATATTTTAGCTAGTGATCATTTGCGACTGTAGGGCCGATCTTCATTTTCCGTTCACAGTTCGTTCTCGGTCCGATCTCGGTTTGATTTATTATAATAGAATGGGATTCGACCGAAACTTGACTATTATCGGATGGTATGAATGCGTGTGCATTATATATACATATTTTTTACTTGGTAATATTTTATCTTGACTTTTTTGTTTTTGTGGGCATAACATTTGCTATGTAGATTGTGCATATCAGGCATCGTTATTTTAGAGCATTGAAATGGATGTTGGTCATGTTTAGACATGCGCGTGAGTAGACATTTGGATGAGTATCTGAAAAAAGAACAATTTCGGAAATTGTTAAAAATGTGTTTATTGTACATCGTGATTTTTTAAACGTTCAGCGTTTGTTCTACTCATGATTTTGATTAAATTTCTCCAAGGAATATACATCGAGATCGGGAAAAAATTGACTTCTCATACAAAATAGAATCACGTGACTGACACTTTTCTATGCTGTCCTTACCCAGCACCACACAGTAAAATTATACTACCTGTGACTTTTTCAAGGTAATGATAATATTTGTACTCAAATTGGAAAAAATCCATCATAATCCAAAATACAAACTTAAAGATTTATAATATCAGTAAATCATTTGAGTTACCTACTAAGTTAGAGTATGTGTCAACCCTAGGTAGGTAGCTTATCTGTTTTTCTTTGCGATATTCTTCTTCAAATTTTCTTGATCTTTTTGCCGTTTCTTCGAGAAACGGTTATTTTTAATGGTGGGCTGACCATCCATGATTAGAGTTTTAGTAGTTTTAACAATCTTTAATCACTAAAACTTCAATAAAGTAATAAAAAACACAGACGCGCACAGTAGGAAAAACTCGTTTATCACCATCTTGTCAAGTGCCGGAATACACTGCTGTGATTGGTCTAATGCACAGTAGCGCCGTTTTCGATTCTAAACTGTCAGAATATTGCCACCTTTGTAACTAAGCTAATATTTTGTACTGAATTTACAAAGGATATAGCCACATTTGATTCTGATGTGTTTAATAAAGTTCTAAATTTCAACTTTTTAAAGATTTCTGCATAATTCGATCAAAAGTGCCAAAAAGTGAGATTGCCGCCTTTGATTCTATACTTGTGACGAAAATTTTTTTTATTGAAATTGATGATTGGAAGAGGTTCGTGCTATATTCTACTATGATAGTTAGCTATATGAATATTTTACACATTTATTTTGTAAGCTCTTTGTCAGGGTTATACCTAATTATGATAACATATTGACGACGAAGTACCGGCCATACCAATAACTATCGCTATTTTACAGAAAACAAAATAACGCGTCACACTGACACCAAATATGTCTAACGTTTTGGTTATTGGTAATATGAGTTACTATTTGTTGCGCTCGAATTTCGTCCACGTTAAATTATTATAACATTTTTACTTCCCTAATTTAATCGGATTTGTTAACAATTTTATGGGTTTAAATTTATTTGCACGGAATCCTTTTTCTAAAATAAAGGTAGCCTACGTTACTACTTGTTAGATCTGCTACGTGCTAGAAAAGTCCCGTCAAAATCGGTCCAGCCGTTTCAGAAATTAGTCGAAACGGACAGACAAAAATTAAAAATAATTGTTTTTTTTTTGTTATAAGTGCCGTACATACGTTTATATGCATTCAGTAAAAAAACTGTTATTTTGAAATTACAAACAGACCCTTTAATTGTAAAGATTAAAACTTCATCGTCAATATAAAATTATTAAACCCACTTACATTAGATTATAGGTCTAATCCATGTATACCTATTAGAATATTGAACAAGTTTTTATACAAGTATCAAACTTTCTAACTCTGCTATACTCACTGGTTGTTTTTGGCCTTGTTTTTTTTTTCCAGTTTGCACTATCAATTCGGCGTTTTCGTGCGTCTTTATTGTCCACCTCTTCCGGATAACATTCCCTTGTTCATTTAAAATTATAATTTAGAGCTCACAAATCTGTTTCATCCCATAAAAAATGAAAATAACCGAGCACACTTCTAACAGTAAACACCATAATCCGCCATACTGTTTACGCGACCGTGATTGGTTGTGAAAGACAATGCTTATTTGGATGCAAACACAAGCGGACAATGCTGTTTTTGTGGCATGCATTGATTTTAATCACTAATTTCTATAGGACATTGCAGTTTCAGCTGCATTTTGAATGCAGAAAAATATGTATTTTAAACTGAAGATTCATACGTCATAGATAACACAATTTGTTTTTTTTATATACATGGTGGTTTTTGATTCTAGTAGACTCATGTAATGCTTGGCCTTTTTGGAAAATGTAAATATCTTTAGCATTACTTCTACTGACTGGCCTTTTAAATCCAAACATGTGAAGAGTGCGAGAATTCAGGATATGAAATAAATGGTTGAATAACGTTATAAACTCTATAGTAGGATCCGGATCTCGAAACATGGATGAATTTATTGCTTTTGCATATTTCTAATGCATTTGCATTGCTTCTACTCAAAAGCTGTACAGCCAACTTGACATTTATAATTTAAAAACTTGGTTTTTTTGCAGTTCATTTAGATTTTCTAGCAGGTTTTATGTAATTATTTTGCCATCTTTATCAAAAATTATTCTTTTGGATTCAAAAGTATTACGTACCAGTTTAATCGTATGGCATGAATCGAAAAAACTGCTACTTTAGTGTTGTCTACAGGATGTTAAAATGTAGTTTTTAAGTTGATGAAATCAACCAGATTGCAGCCTAAGGCCTAGCGCGCACCACGATTTTTCTTTTTGCGACACGATTTTAAAATCACGCTGTAAAAAATCGCAAAGAGTACGGTGCGCGCACTGCGATAAAAAAATTGTGATCTTTGCTCAGTTACACCATGGAGTACAAGTTGCAAGTTTATTTACTACTTCGGAGGATCAGAAGAAAAAATAATAAAATTCGTCAATACTGGACTCATCCTTTTACAGCGGATAGAATTATCAAAGGTTTCTTTTATCAGAAATACCATGAACTTGGGATGTATCCCAAAAAATTCTTTGGCAATTATAGAATGAAAATTCAAACATTTGACAGATTACTGAGAATTGTTGGACCTCATATTGAATACAAAAATACTAGATGGCGAAATGCAATACCAGCTGAAGAAAGGCTGTCAGTCACCCTCAGGTAAGTAAAACAAACAAATATATTATAATTATTTAGTATATTAAGTTAATAAGTACCTATAAAATTTATTAAAGCGTCGACATTGTCACGTCATAGTAATCATCAGTCTTGGGAAATCTCGGATTCAGAAGCCTGCAAATCTTGTCCAAATCGTTCATAATAGTCATTGCTCGTATTGAATTCATTGAAATTCTCTTCAATCAACGGTTGTTTTGCAGAGAGTTTCTTTGTGCTGATCACAATATTTCGTGGTTTAACAAAATTAGACGAGGATGTTCCCGGCTCAGAATTAATATATGTGGCACTGGTATTCGTGTATGTCGGTGGAGGAATAGTTACCAGAATTTTATTAGCTGATCCAGGGTGTAACTGTGGAAGGTTTAGCATTGGTGTGGAATATACAGGTTGGAAAGTATTTTGCATTGATACGGGGCATGTAGGTTGCGCGGTATGCATACCAATATTTGACCCGGGACATACATTCTGAGAAGCAGTTTGCATTGATCCGGGGTATAAAGGTTGCGGAAGATATTTTTTAGCCCTATCCATGGCATTTAAAATTTCAGTTTTTGCATAAAATTTTTGATCCTCATTTAGTTTCCGTAACATTGGATCAACATCTCTGCAAAACTAACATCCTCGTCAAGAATTTGTTTCTTACGTAAAATATTCAATAGTTCCTCTTCATCAGTATTTTCTTTTCGTTCTTGAGCACCTGTCTTACGTTGGTATATAGCTTTTCTGGAATCCTGCTTCTGTTGGCTATTATCCTCGTCCGATTGAGTTTCCGAATTTGCACATTCTTCAATAGATTTGATGTTGCCACTAGTGTCTCTTGGAGTAGTAATAGGTATCAAGAATGATAGTTGATCAAAGAAAATGTACTTTCGTTTCTTCTTACCAGATTGACCCGACTCACTTTTTTTTGCGCACCTAACTCTCTAGAAAAACAGTCCTTCAAGTTCTTCCACTTTCTCTGAATATCAGCACCTGTAAAATAAATTAAAATTTTTGACCGAATTCGTCTATTGCGTACACAGCGCAATCTCAAAGCGTTTTTTTATTTTTATTGTAGATGGGCATGTTGGTCGCAAGCCAGGCGGCTCCTTGCGGAGCCTACCACCGCTGGTGGGATCGTTTAGCCGCCAACAGATGTTGCCCGGAGTGGACCGCTAGGAGATAGATCCCACCCACCCCAAATACTATAAATACTCTTAATTTCTACTATTTTTTTTCAGATATCTTGCATCGGGAAACAGTTTTTACTCTTTTTATTACGAATATTTATTAGGAGCTACCACAATTCGTGAAATAGTAGAAGATATATGTGAAAAGCTATGGTTTTGTTTGCATCTAATATATATGCCCGAACCGAAGGAAAATGATGGGTTAAAAATTGCTGAGGGTTTTTATAAAAGAACAAACTTTCCTAGTTGCTTGGGCGCGGTGGATGGGACACATATTAGACTGGAGAAACCAAATGGAGCAGGCTCAGAGTTTTTTAATTATAAACAATATAACTCTATCGTTTTGATGGCTGTAGCTGATTCGAATTATTCATTTATTATGATAAATATCGGTGCATATGGAAGCAGCAGTGATTCTACAATTTTTAAGCAAACCAATTTCGCAAAGAAATTGGAAAATGACCTGTTATATATACCTCAACCAAGAAATTTACCAAATGATACAGATGGACCTAAAATGCCGTTTGTTTTTGTTGGAGATGAAGCATTTGCACTCTCGAAACATATCATGCGACCATATCCCAGACGGAATTTATCAATTAAACAGAGAGTGTTTTTAATTACCGGCTGACAAGAGCAAGAAGAATGGTAGAATGCACCTTTAGAATTTTAACAAATAAATGGCGTATCTTGAATCGATCATTAGACGTTAAAATTGATCCTTTCGGACCATCAAGTTGAATTCGCATAAAGTTGAAATCTCAAAAAGTTGAACTTGTGTAATATTGAATCCTACAAAGTTGACTTCCCAACATGTTGAATTATGATTTCCCAAAAAGTTGAATTTGTATAATGTTGAATCCCATAAAGTTGAATCCTTTAAATTATTGAACTGTTTTTTAGATTACCTACATCCCACCTATGGAATACCTATATGAATCGAATAACATTATAAGGTAAGGGCAATTTTGACAGATAAACAAATTAGTAGTTGGCGTACGCTGTTTTATTAACTTAACTAAAATACAAAATCAACTTTCTTCCACTTAAAATAAGGTATAATTAAAAAAATAAGTTAGAAACCAAGTTTTAATCTGGTTAAATGGATTTTCATTAGAAACATTTTTGGTGAAATTACTCTTCTTTTCAGTTGTTTTAATAAAGATGCATACTTAATGTCAAACAAAATATCTTTCGTCCGCCTATTTTTTTTGAATGGTGCAAATAACAAATACCTTTCGATCTTTATATCGTAATGCTTCATTTCTTTTAAAAGTGTACGGAATACGAGGTACAAGTTAGGGTTTCGTGGTAATCTCGCATTAATTCGCCGATGGTACCCCTCGCAATTATTTGTGGTCCTATGTGTGTCTCCTGCACAACTTATCATATTATGATCTTTGTCATACCATTGGGCTTGGAAGTATTTTAAAAAAGACTTCATTTTTAGCGTAGATGGTGCAGCCTGTTGAATACTTTTCCAGGCTTGTTTCATGAAAGTGGGAGGAATTAAAACAAAATAGGAGCACATTCTAACGATGCTTCCTGCTTTTCTGTCGCTACTTGTAGGTCTTGTCACTCTTGCAATTTTGCATTCTTTTGCTTTTTTCCAGACGGCTTGATTAAAGTGCTGGAAACACCCGGATAAATGAACATCTGGAAATATTGCTTTGACAGCATTAATTTGAGTCGTTTCGTAATCACATTTAAATGTTTTTATTACCACAGGCAGCTTCTCTTTTATCAAATTGAATAATCTTGTATAGGTTTTTTCTGTTTTATTTGGAAGAAATGCATACATAACAGGAAATACATTAACTGTGATTTCGTCTGAAAATACGTCTAGATGGATTATGTAAAGTTGATAAAAAGGGCGTGGAGAAACTTTGAATGTACCATCACCACTGTAACTACACAGTTCTGACGATTTCATTGCTGTTATGGCAGTCTGAGAACAAAGTACGATAATTTTTTCTTGATCTCCATCTTCATAAACCGTGATATTTTTAGGCAGTCCCTTCGGAACTATCACATCTTCAACTCTATTGAAAACTAGCGAATTTGTGCCCAAGAATTTTTTCCGGGTTCTATATAAAGTACTTCTTACTGAAATAAATGATGGTATTTCGGTTACAGGAAATAAATGTTTGGTTTCGGTGAAATGTTGCACCATTTCTTCATATATCTGCTCGATAGAACATAAATTAATACACACTTCTCTCTTAATGTCGTTTATAAGCCGTGTTACTTTAATTTTATTAGTATCCGGTGTGCAGGTACGTTTCATTTCACGTTTTACGTCACATTCATCTTTGGTTAAAGTAACAGTTGCAGAACAAACGTCCCGATTTGTGCACTTCCATCGGGAGGTGCCGTTCTGATTTGTTTTACCATCTTTGGTTAATGTGTATTTACCTCTTATTACGAGAAGTTTCTGTTTCTTTTTATTTGTTGTAAAGGACACTGTTTTATAGGGAGCCATTTAGAAATTTACAAATAAAGAAATTTGGAGTATATTATCATAAACAATTTTTTTTTTAATTTATTTTGGCAACAAACAGTCGTATACTAAGGAAATAAAATACTAAAACTTATCTATTCTAAATTGACCTACAGTGCCGAAAACTTAAACACAATTTAAAAGAAAGTTACATGGTAACACTACATAGTGACTATTAACATAACAAAAAAAAACTAAGTACATAAACATAGTTAAAATTAGAATATCAATTCAAAAAAAAATGCAACTCACTAACAAACCTTACTTAAATTATTTTTTATTGTCTGTTTTAAGGTATTGAGAGATGAATTAAAAAGGTCGATATTAGTAAATTGCTTATTATATATGTCAGTGGAACGGTATAAGAATGAATTACGAGTATATTTTTTATGTAACTGCGGAGGAACAAAAAGTGGTGTTTTACGTGAGGATCGCACCGGAAGACGAACACGAGCAATAAGTGATACCTTTGAGAGAAGTTGAGAAGAGTCAATTAAATTATTCAAAATTTTATATAAAAAGATTATATCAAACAATTTGCGTCTATCGCAAAGGGATAATAATTTATACCTACGCAAAGATTCATCATATGATTCGTTAGTAATATTATTACGATAGTTAAGTGACCTAAGGAATGTCTTTTGTACTCTTTCAATTCTATTCCTATGTATATGATAACAGGGCTCCATACAGTACTACAAAAATCTAAGATTGACCGAACAAAGGAAAAGTATAGAGTTTTTAGCGTTATGGTTTTGTAAAAGGGTTTGCTAATCCTGAGAATAAATCCCAAGCTACGAAATGCATTGCTTAATATATAATCAATATGTAGATTGAATGACAATTTTGAATCCATTATTATACCCAGATCTCTAATACTATCTACTCTTTTAATAGTAGTATCATTCAAGCTATAATCAAATATTATACGTGTATAAGATATGATATGGCATTTATCAATATTGAGATATAGTTGGTTATTTGAACAGTAATCAAATAGAGAAGTTACGTCTTTTTGCAGCTTTACACAGTCATCAACTGTTTCGATAACTCGAAATAACTTTGTATCGTCGGCATAAAGTAAGTAATCACTATTCTTTAGTGCAAGTCCTATATCATTAATATATAACGAAAACAGCAAAGGGCCTAAGTGTGATCCTTGAGGCACGCCTGAAGTTACGGGTAGAAATAGTGAAGAGTATCCCTTTACACAAACTGCTTGACATCTATTTTCAATATAGGATTGGATCCACCTGAGAAGGCTGCCGTGAATGCCAGCCCTTGTAAGCTTCTCAATAAGAAGATTGTGATTTAGCTTGTCAAAAGCCTTGGAAAAATCTGTGTATACAACATCCACTTGTAAGTTATTATCAGCCTTCGACAAATAATCAGTAAAAGTTACCATATTGGTATCAACACTATGGTGCTTAAAGAAACCATGTTGTTGTTGACATATGTAATTACGAACTGAAAACGAAATATAGGATGTGACAATTTTTTCAAGAACCTTTCCCAAAACACATAATTTGGAAATCGGTCTATACTCAGTAATTATATCTTTTCTGTTATTTTTTGGAATAGGAGTTATTAAGATTTTTTCCACTTACTAGGATAAACACCGGTTTCAATAGAAGTTCGAAAAATTATGTTTATAGGTTTTGCGAGTTCTTTGGCACATTTGGAGATTAAAATGGGATGAATGTTATCAGAACCTGCGCCCTTACGAACGTTGACATTTTTTAATTCTTTAAGAACAATATCATAGTCAATATTAACAGAGTTTATATCTAACGTTGAGAGGGGATAAGAGCTAATAGAATGATTTTTAATAAGAGAATCATTTCTGGATAAAAAAACGGAATGAAAATATTGATTGAACGCATCGCAAATCTCACTGCCACTAGATAAAAGTTTACCTTTGTATAACATTCTATCTGGAATGTCGTTTGTAGAATTTTTAGATTTTACAAAAGACCAAAAATATTTTGGATTCTCTTTAATTTTCTCTTCAGCAATTTCAATAAACCTTTTGTAACAATTTTTCTCCATTTTCTTAAAACGATGTCTCAGAATAGAGAAAGTTTGATAATCGCACAAGTTACCATATCGCTTCCATTTTTTATGAAATTTATATTTTTCTTTTGATAATTTAATTAGAGGTTTATTAAACCACGGAGGAAATTTATTTTTGGTAGTAAGACAATGCGTCGGTACGTGTTTGTCCACAAGCCCATCAAGTACATCATAAAAGTACGAAGTCATTGATTCTACGTCGGACTTCATAGTGCTAAAAGTTGCCTCCCAGTCAATCGAATTTAAGGAAGTATTAATTGAGTCGAAGTCGGCTTTGTAGAAAAGTTTTTTCTTAATATTAGCAACGTTAAGCATAGCAGAGGAAAATAATTTTAAATCTATTTCTAAAGCTTTATGATGATTATCTTGCGGCACTAATGGGTATACGCTAGAAGCCACTGAACAGTTTTTATTACAAAAAATTAAGTCTAGAAGTCTATTATTTACATTAAATTGAGAGTTGAATTGTGATAGTAACGATAAATGCATAAAGTCGGCAGTGAGACAAGCTAATCTGTCATTGTTTGTTTGAACATCCATGGTATTAGTGGTTATATTATAATGCCAAGAAGCATTAGTCACATTAAAATCACCGAGAATAAGAAAAATATCATTAGAATTACGGTTCATAAATTCGGTTACCCTATCATAGAAAGAAGTCAATAATAGCTCATGATTATTGCCGTGTGCTATATATGTGGATATTAAATGTAGATAGCGAGGTGTGTTCCTAAACTGAACGGACGAAGTAGGAACGGTAATCGCGTTCAGCGGCACCGACACCCATACCTCCTCCGACGGTGGCGGAGCGCGCATGTCTACGCGGTGTTGAGGACACAACTCACGGCGAACCGCAATTAACACACCACCACCGCGCTCGTGCCCACTTGATGCAACATTACGATCACAACGGTATACCAGATAACGGTTGTCAAAGTATTCTGAGTCGTAAAAGTTATCGTTAAGCCAAGTTTCGGTTAAACAAATCGCATCGTAATTGTTGCACAATATTGCATTAAGAAAGTTATGTGATTTAGTGCGTAAACCCCTCACATTTTGATAATAAATAGCAAAGTTTGTGTTATCGTATTTTAAAAATTGTAATTAACACCGTTCCACCAACATGTAAGAATATAAATACGTAATATAAACTTCTTATCTTAGACCAAATTAACAAAGACATTATTTTAGTGAGATTAAAATTAGAACTTGATATATATAAATAATTACATAGAATATTTGAATTGTTTAAATTAAATATACAAAGTAAGAATAGTCACTTAATTCTAGTAAGGTCGACTTCACTAGTTACCAGTAATGCTTTGGACTCGTCATTTTTTCGTACAAATATCTTACAATCTGACAACCAAACATATTTATAGCTTTTTTCTTTAGCAATTAGACGCACTTGCTTATATAATAATTTATTACGTGGCGATAAATGATCACTAATAAAAATAGGCTTAGACGGGCCGTCCACACCAGCGTGCACTGTTGTCAACCCTCGTCGGGCACGCACAGCCGCAAGCATATCAGATTTCCGCTTTCTTTGTGTAAACCTAACGATTATATTAGGAATCAGGGAGAAGTTTCGAGATCTGCCATCAGCAATGTTTGTATCATCGCTACTTTTGGAGTTAAAACGTCGAACACGGTGGATGTAATCGATATCCGATGACTCCAAAGGGAAACCAATCTTTGTTGCGATGTTGTGAACAATAGTTAGTAAATTTTCACTCTTAGTAAAAGGTACTCCTGATATTTCTAAATTATTGATCCTTCCTTGTTGTTCCCTCGCTTGTTGCTGTTCTGATAAGTTATTGACGGTAGATTGTAAGGCATATATATATCCCTTGAGATTGATTCAACTTTAAGGTTATTTTGGTCAGTAGAAGATTTCAATAAGGAAATATCATTTTTGAGGACAGTTTGTTCATTTGATAATTTCTCGGTGGTGAACTTCATATCATGCAATTGCTGTTTAAACTCACTTAAATCGTCACGAAGAGCATTCAAAGAAGACTTTATGTTGTTATTATGGCTCTCAAGCACATTATTTATTGAAGCAGTAATTTTATTTTGAAAATCTATCATCATCTCTTGAAAGTCACATTGGCAATCCGGTAATTTTCTCTTCCTTTGTACGAAATGAGCATCTTCGCTGAGCTTTGATACATCAGGATATGATCCCGATCCTTTTGGCGGGCTTCTACGAACACTCATTTTTAGCTGAAATTATTTTATAAACAGATGTAATCGAAGGTAGCAGTGTTATCACGATAGCTATTGCAATTTGCGTGAGATATAAGCGATTAACACGGCGGCGGTATAAGCAAGGCGCAGCAAAGCACACGTTGGCTATCCTTTACTCGCAAACTAGTGATTAATGAGTCTTAGCACTACCGAATCTCTAGCCTTCCCGTACGCGTTCGATCGTTGTCGCTGATAAAATTTAAAGCAAACACACCCGAAATGCACTGTTGATTAAAAACAAAATGCTATGAGTTAACTGAACACAACAGAGGAATAATTTTGTACACGTGCAACCATGTAGAAATACGGACCAAGACTGAATTTCATGAATAAACTGATTATTTACAAATGATATTGTCAAGTTTATGACAAGCATTTAACATAAACTAGTTATCTAGAGAGGTTTTAGTATCTAAAGAGGTTTTGCGTGTGTAGATAAAGCCCGTAACTGGAAGCTATTTATATCCAACCTTTAAGGATTTCAACTTTATAAGAATTCAACATTTTGCGAAATCGAGAAAAACGACATTGTGGTAAATTAAACTTTTTGAGATTTCAACTTTATGCGAATTCAACTTGATGGTCCGAAAGGAAATTGATTTTTGTGACAAAATAATCAAAGCATGTTGTATCCTACACAATTTTGTACGGAAATACGATGGAATACGATTCAAAGACGAATTGTATGGATGTGATCTAAGAAATATGGATCCCACGTCTGCGCGACCTACAGTTAATTGTATTGAAATACGAGATTATTTTTGGAAACTACTTCACTTCATCCAGTGGATCTATTCCATGGCAATATAATAAAATATAATAAATCTTACCGTGTTTTTTTATTTTGGTTGCTTAGTTCAGCCCAGTTCTGTATAACATTTTCGCATACTTCTTGCCATAAACGCGTTTTCAAATTGCTATCACTATATTCCTCGTTGACTTACAAAAAGCCGGCCGCGCGATTTAGATGCTGCGCGGGACCATACAATTTCATACGCTGCATTTTATTTGCGCGACAATCGCGTCGCGAGTAGTCGCGTCAAAATGTAACAAATCACAATTTTAAAATCGCTGCGATTTTTCACTCGCATGTGTGCGCACTGTCTTACTAACTCATACGTTGCATTTCTGCGATAAAATAATCGCGCGGGAAAAAGTCGTAGTGCGCACTAGCTCTAAAGCTTTGCAGTAGCCAAATTAGCGGCACGACCGTCAAAGGTTAAACTTACTACATCAACACCGACAGCGTGAGATAGTCTAATGCGATTTGTAATTAAATTAGACCAGGTCTCAGATGGTAACCCATTTACAGAAAAGTACGCAACAGTGATCAAACTAAAATGAACACATAAGCTTGCGTAGCAATTTTTTACACTCTGAGGGTCCAGTACCATAATAGACTAATCCCTCTGAAGTTTTATCCGTTCACTGCGTTTGATGCCTAAGAGCCATCTCATCCACAACAAGGCCACAAATAATTCTCTTACCAGATATAGTACTTTTTTGTTTCAATATGGAGAATGCTTCTCCACCTGGCTTAGGTGGCATAGAATTATTTTGGCACCATTTGGCTAAAACGCGAGGATGAGGAAGTACGTTGTGAAGTTTCCGCCTAGTATATTTGTAAGCAAACTTTCGAATTGATGATGGATATTTTTTATACAGTTTGTTTAGATTTTTTTCAATTCTGTTAAATAAATCTATAGTTTCCGCTCTTAAATTAAGTTCTGAAAACTGTTGTTCCGTGAGAAATTTCTTTTTTTTTTCAAATCTTTTACAATTTCTTTGAAACTTGCAATCTTTTTTTAATAGACGATTTTAAATTTTAATAACTTGATTTTTTTCTGTAGAACATTTTTTAATTTTCGTACACACTTTTTTAGTTTGGCTTTTCTTGAGGTATCTAAAATAGTGTCTATATCAGATATATGAACCTCATCAAGACTGGTAGGTATAGCAGCCTGACGAGAATTATCCTGAAACAAAAGAAAATTTTATTATTGATAATTATTAAGTAGATTGATAGATTAAGATAATTAAGATTAAGAGCGATATTTAAGTATATTGCTTCATTATTACATATATATAAGGTTTTTGAAATAGACTTTAATACCATTAGTCAGAGTAATCCTTCATCTGTAAATATTAATAGTTAAACATGGCCAGATTATAACCATACACCAGATATTATCGACGTAGAGGATTGAGTCGAATGGGACCAGTGATGGGGTAGAAAAGACCAAGATAATTAGGTAGTATAGATTGATAGATTAAGATCATTAAGATTAAGAGCGATATTTAAGTATATTGCTTCATTATTACATATATATAAGGTTTTTGAAATAGACTTTAATACCATTAGTCAGAGTAATCCTTCATCTGTAAATATTAATAGTTAAACATGGCCAGATTATAACCATACACCAGATATTATCGATGTAGAGGATTGAGTCGAATGGGACCAGTGATGGGGTAGAAAAGACCAAGATAATTAGGTAGTATATAATGAGTAATTGAAACAAAAATAAAACTATATTATGGATAATCTATATATTGCTTTAGGAAAATAGGAGAACTAGCTTGTGTACTTATTAAGTATAAATGTTACTAAGCCTAAAACTATAGCACAGCCTTTCAGTCTCAAAAACAAGTCTTTAGTTTAATCTTTACATCACAAATATTTTAATATATTTATTAGATTAAATTATATTTAATATCTTTGGCACATTGACCATTATAAAATTAAAAAAAAATAGAACATAAAACATTTTTCAACAAAATCACAGCTATTTCTATTATTATTATATGAAAACAAAACAATTAATCTTCATTCGAATCACAATTATTTCATATATATGTAACACTTCTGCTTTTAAAATAATTGACGCACTTTTCATCTGCCCAATCTTTGTAAGCAGTGCATTGAATCCAGCCTTCCCCTGGGACGCTGTCTGAAAATGACTCGCAGCATATTAAGCAAAAGCATTCTTCTTCTTCAGAGCTCGAACAATCGTTTTTCTTTTCTTGTAAAACCTTTTTTATACCTGTTTATTTGTCCGTGTAGCTTTTTTGCGAATAACCTTATTCTTGTTATGTTGTTCTAAAAACAATGCTTCTTTTTCGGGTGTGTCTGTTAATATAGCTGTTTTGCGTCGCTTCCTGTTATTAACTTTACGTACTCCAGCCTTAGGAAAAGGCCTAATAGCTTCTGGGGAAAATACTTTATTCAAGGATGTCACCGTTTCAGACATTGACGGCTGATGCTGTGTCTCTATTACAGCTGCAGAATACAGAAATGGATCCGGTGATGACAAAAAAACTGTAGTGGCAGTCAATATAGGCTCATTAACTGTAGATTGCTGTATCTCCTCAGTTGCGCAAGACATTGGAATTGCTGAAACGACAGGTGTTAATAAAGGGGGTGGGGCAGACAGCTGAGGATCAATATTTTGGAACGGTTGTATCACAGCCGCCGACGATTGCGTTGAATTATCGGGATTAGGCCGATCTGTTACAAAACTTGGAGCGAAATCCAAATCATCAAACACATCTCGATTAAATGGGTAAATTCCCGCTTTTTGAAACCCGTTCGAAATGTTGACGGGTGTCAGAGCCAATGGTAAGGCCGTTCGGACTATTCCTGGGATGTCATAAATTGACATAGTTTTGCCAGGATTATTGCGCAACCATGCATCTTGTGCTGACGATAAATACCTTTTAAACGGCCCATATAATGACACATCTAAAGGTTGCAGTTTGTGGGAACAATGAGGGGGATACGAAAGCATCACTACTCCATTATTCTTCGCTAGATCCAATACTTCAACTGATAGGTGCGAACTGTGGTTGTCCACTAGAAGCAACACTGGCGATTCTTTAGTTGATTTTACATATCTGATAAAATGTTTCATAAAAAGCAAGAACTCCACACATCAGTCATCCCAGCCACTTGCATTCCCTGCACCAATACATTCTGCTGGCCCATCTCGCACGAAATGCTCTTGGTATTTCTTCTGGAAACACAAACATTGGCGGCACAGAAGACCCAGTTGCTGAAACAGCTACCAGCAATGTTACATTAGTTCCTCTTTCAGCCGATGTAACTGATCCAACGTTGCGTTCTCCTTTTGCTGCAATTGTTACGGTTGAGACACCGGTTTCATCGGCATTCCAAATAGATGAACCTCTAAACTTGTGACGATCTATCACCTGAGCCAATTTATCGAAGTAAAGACTAACATTCGTTCTATTAAAAGAGGTCGCCCTACTTAAACTAGTGGCCTCTGGTTTTCTGATGGAAAAACGATTGTTTCTTGCCAAAAATCCCGTCAACCAGTCTTTTCCTGCCATTTTATTTGAGTGCCACTTCTCTGGAATCTTTAACTTATATTTGACAGCGCATTCATAAGCCAGACGGCGAACATCTTTGGGTCCCAATCCACTAAAAATTTGGGCTAGTTTTAACAGGTACTCAGATAGAGATGTTTCTTGATATTTACTAAATACTAACCTGGGAGCCCCATAACCAAATCTTGGCGTTTCTGGGTTTTCTTTTAGTCGTTCCGTGAATCTTATCAGTGATGTTTTAATGATCTCATAGTCACGACAAACTTGTCTAAGGGATTTGTTTCCATTTGTGACTAGCTCTGCCGCTTGCTGCATCAGATCCACTGATTTTGTACCTCTCTCCGTAGTTCTTTTGTAATTTCGCATTCTGAAAATAAATGATACAAAAATAATTAAATAATTGTTTTTGTAGGGCTAAAAGGTCCACTGCGGGGCACAAAGGACCGCCGTGGTCGCCGTGGGAATTTTTACCTCAATGGTAGATTGATTTTAGTTTGAGGTTAAAAATAAACAATAAAACTGTACACACAAAAACAATGGTACTACGTGAAACATAATACTACAAACCTTACGCGAACGGAAGTTTAACTTTGTAATGTTACAAACGGAACCGTAAGACTAAAATTAAGTGATATAAAAATATTACTTACGTGTATTTTTCGGACCGCGTGCGCGCACACTCTCCCTGGCACTCGAGAGCTCACTGCGGGAGTCGGCATGCGTACCCCCCTGTAACCCCTTCAAACGCCTGTTACTCGCTTGTCTAACGGACATTTATTTTCTGAGATAGACATGGTGGACCTTTTACCCGCGGACCTTTAAGCCCCGCTCTACCCTACATATTTTAAACTCGCAAATTGACACGTACTGTACTAATCCTGAGTTTCTTTGTTATGCTTTGAAGCCCTTGTTCATCATAAATTGTTTAAAATTGTAATAAACAAGTACATGATTTAAAAATCAAAAAACGCTACTGCATAAACCCATTATATTTTTGAAATGTTCTTTTCACAAACTTTCATTTAATACCCATATTGTCGTAGTACGAAAAAACACAAGCCCAGAGGGGTGTGATTTTATTTGCGGATGCCATTTTCATAATTTATATACTTAGCCAATATCACTACCACATTTCTGACGAATCTAACGACACCTTGTCAAAATCCGTTCAGCCGTTTGGGCTGTAGGGCATGCCAAAGAAATGGACCTACGCTCGAAAAACTGCAGTCGGGTAAAAATGTTCTAAACAAGACACAGATAAGTTACTTACATAGATTGATTTACACATTTTTGTTACACCTTTTTTTGTGTTTCGAGTTACACTTTTTTGTTTTTAATTGTATGGACTGCAGATTTTTTAAGATGCACGTATCCCTTTGTTGTTGTATAATTGTCCGATTCTTTAAAATGTACCGAACAAATCGTGCTAAATCTCGTCGGTGACCAATCGTGTTCACCTCTGTCAGTTCCTTAATAATTAGTCGTTCGGAAATCTGGAAAACAAACAACCTAAATCATGCAAAACGTAACGTAAATTCTAACAAAGATAAACTTTTTATACCTGTAAAGTTTTCACTTCTCATAGAATAATCTATGACGTGCAAGTTGATGCTATCCCTTTTACACTCAGCTAAAATTGTATAGTCTGTCCTATATTTACAACAAAGTAGAAATATCTTCTAGAAAACGTAATAATTATTAAATTTAATGTAAAACGAACTACATGTATGATAATTTTGGACAAACTTACGTATGATACGAAACTTCGTCTTTTTTATTTTGGAATAATAATTTTTACACTTCCGCATCATACAACTTGGCATTTCGAAGATATTTTTTGCGTAAGCGAGTGTGATTCAGATCGCGGTTTCAGCGCCACTAAATAGAATTCGTATAATTGTGTGAATTTAAATTCAACACTTTCCGTGCACATATGCCTCATCTACCTCTCTTAATATACACTATCATTGTGTCAGGGTATACCACCTAATTTAATTTAGTATTAAAGTCACAATAGTATTAAATAATAAACTTTAACCCTTAAAGTCGCACGATACTTTTAGCAAATGAAAACAACTAAAAATTGTTTTAATGGTTTATTTGGCGTTTAACCCTTAAATTCATGATAAAAGATTTTTACCCAAAAAAAATATATTCTGTCTCATAAAGGCGTAACATTTACTGAAAAAAATAAAATAAAAAATCTATATTAATGGGAACATTTATTATTTTATAAAAATATTTTTGTATCGTTTTCGATACAGTATGCATTAGCTTTACAAAATAATCATGATTTTACAAAGTTGAAGAATTGTGAAAATGGGTGAAACAATCTTTGGATTCCTTACTACATAAGTGAACATTGCACTTAGATCATTTAATTATACTTAATAAATTACATGATGGAATCATACATCGACCACGTGTTTCTGTTCTCATGATGTTATGATCCATTTGTTCGAGTCTAACTTCAAGGGGTGGCAAAACTTGGCAAGGTTTCCCTTTTCGTATTTTAAGTAGGGGTTGATCTTCCCTAATTGCACTGGTGCTTGGGCGCCCTCTATTGTTAGCGGGACTATATTTGCAGAGTTTCTGTCAACTCTGATCGAAAGTCTGCAAGGGTCATGATTTTTTTGTGGTTTCCTTTTTTTCTTCAACTTTTTTATATAACACCCACGAATTTATTGTAGTCAAATCAAGCAGGTGATAGAAGATTCTCATGTACCACTTTCTGCTCTTCATTCGAATCCTATTTCTTCCTAAAAAGGAATCCATGAGGTCTACACCACCCATGTGCATGTTATATTCCCTGATTAGCTTTAAGCACGTGATAAGAATCCTCTTTTTTTTCTTTTTTATCGAATCGTTCGATATTCCCTACGGGACATGCTCCAACGTATGTCGACGCTAACACAACTTGCTTATTGTCCTTGCAACTTACTGTTGTCATGTCAATGCCTTCAAAATTTGTAACATACTCTTCATAAGACCCTCTTGGAATTGAACTCTTCATAACATCCTGCTTAGTTGGCAACTTGCAAGTTTTTCCCAGTCGGTTTCTTTGAATAGTGCCTAGGGAATGTATAACTTGCTTAGCAAGTATACACATCAATGGCAAAGATGTGTAGTAATTGTCAAAATAGACAATATGATTTCTTTGCCTGGGTACCACACTCAGCAAATTCATAACTGTTTGTCCCACAACTCCCAGGTTTTGATTGTTTGAGGGTCCTTCATTAGCTTCTTTCCCAGAGTAGATTATGAATCTATGAGCAAAACCGCCCAAATTGCATAAAACAAACTATTTAAAACCCCATTTGTGGGATTTGTTGGGGAGATATTATTGTTTGAGAAAATGTCCAACTTTGGTAGCGCACATCTGTTCATCTATGGATAATCGCTGCTCGATGGTCACGCTAGAGAACTTTTCATTTAAATGGGTGATTATAGGACGTAACTTATGAAGCCTGTCATGCTGCATGTGGTCTACTGGCAGATTATCATCATTATTATTGAAGTGCAGTAACTTTCGCATTTTCTCAAATTTATTTACTGGCATTGCCTATTTGATGGGACTGAAGCCAAATTTATTAGACCAATACCACCTTGTGCTCGTATAATGGTAAACAGACATAAATATTAAAATATCAAAATATTTGCGAAGTTCATCCACTGTGAATATTTCAGGTCTGTCAGGTTGTTTCTGGACAGCATAGCGTGCTGATTCAGTAACAATGTTTTATCAATGTTCAACTGATACGGACTTTGCAGTTAGTTCCATTGTAGATGAAGGTAACTCTTCAGACCCACCAAATTTGATGTTATTCTTATCAAATAGAAAAGTCTCCACAGTAAATTCCTCAAATTCATGAGAGAGAGTTAGTCGGTTGTGCTTCCACTCGCTCCAACGACTGTGCGCCTTGCACAAGCTGCTCATCCTGAAACATAAAATGCGATATTTGCTCTCGTAAACACATAAAAGTCGTGCAATATCAAATGTTTTCAAGTAAATGAAGAACTTACCATCCATTTTGTGATTTTTATTGGTAAAAATTCGACTTATTTTCGTTTTCGCCGCTAGATGAAAAACTCGGTTTTATGATTATGCTCACCTCGTTGATGTCTTTAGCATAGACAAGAAAATCATCCTTCAGAAATGACATTGACTCATGACATTTTTTTTGTGGGATAAGGCAAAACGTGTAAACATTCAGCCTATGCTGTACTTCAAATAAAAAACCGGTAAAAACGATTAGAATGCGATGTATCAATATCGATACAAGATGCATTTAAGGGTTAAAAGAAGTTGAAAAAATACCAAAAAAAATATAGAGGTTTTATTTTTTGGAAAAACCTATGTATAATATAGGGTTACTGGTAATTCGACGTATTCCCGCCAAGACGTGATAGTTGGGGTCATAACCTATCAAATGAACCATAAAATGCATTATGCAAATGTGGGTCAATTTCGAGATATTTAGGTTTAATTATTTTTTTCAAAAATCCCAAAAGTCTGTTGTCAAAAATTTCTAAAGAAACTTACAGCTGTATTATTTTCATTTTATTATTTTTACTTAATGAAAACCTGGATACTTATTTATCAATACTACAGTGTGCAAAAAGTCTCATCATTTTCGAAGTAACGCTACTAAAAGTACAACTTTTTCCAAACAGAAGATAAGTAATTAAAAATAAAAATGATTTTGTGAAAAATAATTGTATGTGATCAATTGTGCAAATCATGTTAAAAACATCCCTATTTATCTAGCTACCTAATGAAGTAACAACTTTGTAGTTTGCTTATGTAGAAACAGAAAAAAATTTAAAGAATGAGGTCAGGTAGTCGAGTTCTAAGCAGACAAAGGAATTTGTGTTTTATTTTTAACCAATATTAATTAAGGAAATGAAACAAATTGCACTGAAAAAGCACTTGATTGAAATTAGCTTTATTTATTTTAACACGATTTACAAATTTTGCTCAATATGGGAGCCCCTATTCCGTATACAGACACGCATTTGTTTTCTTAATTCGCTTTTAATAACGTTTGAGGTTAATGTTCGTTTTATGTCGTTTGTCGCGTTGATAATGCGGTCTCTCAGTTGATCAAGGGTCGGCACTGGCACATTGTCGCAGTACACGATGCTCTTTATGTGACCCCAGACATAATAATCCATCGGTGTTATGTCAGGACTCCTTGCTGGCCATGGAATTGGTCCCCCTCTGCCAATCCACCGATGTCGATAATTTTCGTCCAGCCATCGTCGCACAGTTACACGACAGTGCGCAGGGCACCCATCATGTTGATACCACATGTTTTGCCTTGTGGCGAGAAGAACATCGTGTAACAATCCGGATAAGTCCTCCCTTAAAAATGTTTCATAATTTTCGCTGTTTAAATAGTTTGGCAGAAAATAAGGCCCAATTAAATTGTCGTTAATAATCCCCATCCAAACATTTAGTGAAAATCTTCTTTGTGATTTAGAAGGTCTCTTTTTTTCCAGGATTTCTTTGCTCTTTTGGAGCCCAAAAATGTAAATTATGGTAATTTGTAATACCGTCTTGATCGAACTTCGACTCATCAGTCCACAATATTTTTCTAAAAAACATTGGATCTTCTGCATCTGCGTTCAACCTAAATCTACAAAAATCCAATCTTCTAACTAAATCTCCTTCTTCCATCACATGCACTGGTGTGTAGTGGTACGGATAAAGCCCCGCAGTATGCACAGTAAACCAGACCTTCCACTGCGATACTCCTAAGCGACGAGCAACTATGTTCGTGGAAGTGGTTGGATCTTCTTGAAATTTACTCAAAATTTCTTCATCTTCCGCACGCGGTATACGGGGTGTGCCACGTGGCCTGCCAGTATCACGTTGTTGCCTTTGAACATTTCCAGTCCCTCGTACTCTGCGATACACTGCACTAAACACTGTGACATGGGGTGGTCGGCGATTAGGGTAGCGCTGTAGGTATTCACGGCGAATAGCTGCAGCGTCACCGTCACAATATCCATGGAGATAAAAGATATCTGCGTATTCGTCGTTGGAAAATGATTGCCTTGCATGATCTCCGCGTCTTGGTGGTTCCGCCGCCATAAAACTTTGAAACTCAACTTCTTTAAGTGTAACAGGGAGTTATATGCGCGCGTGTGTACGATGCCTGTAATACTGATGACTGATTGAATAGTTTCTTATTGTTTAACTTGTTTCTAATTTCACACTAAATGTAAACAATATCGTAAGTTCAAACGCACAATTTTTTACGAGCATTCCCGCAGCTGTTGATAAGGTTCCGAGAAGCGATTGTTTGGGATTACCCAAAACATTGCTACTCGGAACTTGTCTACCTGACCCCTTTTTTCAAGTTTTTTCTGTACTATTTAAGTTACAAGCTAAATTGATACTTCGTTGGGTAGCTAGATAAGTAGGAATGTTTTTAACATGATTTGCACAATTGGTCACATACAATTATTTTTCACAAAATCATTTTTATTTTTAATTACTTATCTTCTGTTTGGAAAAAGTTGTACTTTTAGTAGCGTTACTTCGAATATGATGAGACTTTTTGCACACTGTAGTATTGATAAATAAGTATCCAGGTTTTCATTAAGTAAAAATAATAAAATTAAAATAATACAGCCGTAAGTTTTTTTTAGAAATTATTGACACCAGACTTTTGGGATTTTTGAAAAAAATAATTAAACCTAAATATCTCGAAATGGTTCATTTGATAGGTTATGACCCCAATTATCACGCCTTGGCGGGAATACGTCGAATTACCAGTAACCCAGTATACTATACATTGCCACACTTGATGAAAATAATCTGCGATTATCAATGTGTAGCATACTATACATTATATTTTATTACTGATCCGTGTGGTACGCCAAGAAACAGTTCCTACCCTTAACATAGCATAGATGTACATTGCATTTTGTGCACATTGTACTCGCTTGACCTCCTCTATAATATTTACAGCGTTGACGTTGATAACCGGTTAACTGAGGCCAATGATCAAATTTGTCATACCGCACATTGTCAAGAGGCCTCTCAGCCATCGGTTTCTTAATCTTCCTTTTTTCAGGTACAGTTAAAATGTCTTTTACGGGTACAATTCTATTACGTTTCAGAAGTCCAGCATAAATTTTGTAACGAAACTCTTTTAGGCGATCTTGCTTCCTCTTTTTATTTATATGGTTGTCGTGTCTACGACGTAACCGCCATGCATTGTTTATGAAAATGTCCAACAACTGAGAAAAAATGTACATATACCATCTGTGAGACTATACCAGTGCAATATAATGCTATTAACATATCCGTCAAATCCACACCTCCCATATGACCGTTATAATGCTTAACGATTTGAGGACACTGTATGTCTACGCGTCCTTTCGACTCCTTGCTGAAACGTTTGCTATTCTCAAGAGGAAAAGCGTCATAGGAACACACTCACTACACTCAATTTATTGTCGTTGCCCACCACTGGAGTAACGACCCCTAATCAATCATTTTAGATTCTGCATCTTTCAACCTATTTTTTCTTACAGTCCCCCAACTAAATATACCTTAATTTTCACGTAAAATATATACTAATTCTAATGTTTATTTTGATAACTATTTTACATAGTTATCAAAATATACGATATGCCTGTTTTGTTATAGTTTTGCATAAAGCCAAAATTATTTTCCCTCCAACACCCTAAGACTCTTCTTCATTTGTAAATTGTACCTGTAAACGTATCATCGCCAGCATGAAGTAGAAAATCGTAGATAATACCGGACACACCGGCTCTAACCAGATTTTAAAGCCCCACTTACTTGGCTTATTTGGGTTATACTGGCGACGGCTGCCGGATTTTTTATCTTTGTAGGGTATGACCATTTCATCAATACTGAAAGCATTTTCTTCCTTGACGGATAAACATTGTGACCGAATGCATTCAATTAGGGGTCACAGTTTATAATACCTATCCCAGTACGTTTTATTTGCCTACGTGTTACTAAAGGTGTGACATCTGCTATGGGAGTAGATGGTTCAACAGACGATATAGATAGTATAGAAGAAATTAAAGGTTTTGCGTCGTAACTGCATTGCGTAGGTCTAGAGAACACGGCGTTCAGGATTGGTGTTAGGGAAACTTGAAAAGTCTCTGGATCCACATTAGAAAGGTCTTCTGCATGTGATTCCATCTCTTGCTTCGAAGGACTGAGCGATGAAGTGGCGCTGCCGAGAATCTCGAGCTTTTCAAATGATGAATCCAGAGACGGTGCTGCTGAACTCTCGACATCTCTGACTTTATCATCACTACTGGCTCCATCACTAACATCAGAACTAGCATTTCTTACTGAAATCAAAGTCAATATCCGTCTCGCTCTTCCGTTCATTACAGTCTAAAGCAAAACGAAACCAACATGCAGCTCAATCATCACCCAAATAAAAACCAAAAAGTTATTTATGCACTATGCGGAACTCGTATCATACCAAATCAATTAAAACTTGTTAAGACAAATAAATATAATGGCAAATAGTAGCGTATAATAGTATACCATACATGAATGTAAGCAAGTTAAAATAATCCAAATATGACAACTTCCAGGCCTTTTGAGTTACTCCTTTTTTGAGTTGGAATAACTCTTCACCTTTTCGATGTATGCATTACAAACCTGTAATAAGTAATAAAATCACGAAAATAAGTAAAACCCACCTTGACAATAATTTCTGGCCTCGGTTTGTTCGTTATTTTTTTACAACTGATTCAAATTTACCACAGATTAGCTATTTAGTGTAATGTTGACGTAAAAAGAGACGTTCAGAAATATGTCTTGTAATGAAATAATGCAAGTAAAACGTGTATAAACTTAGTAATAATTTTTTATAGTCAGACTTATACCCTGTTATACAAAGTCACTTTAACCTATCACTCACTGCGCCCGCCATAACAAAAAACAGCTTTGTACCGAGGCGTCCGTCGTCACCTCAGCTGGCGGCACTTGTTTTAAATATTTATGTTTCTCACGACCTTTCATTTATGTTTAAAGAGGTTTTAGTTACAGTTATTTAAAGCCGATAAGATTTTCGATAAGTAGAAACAATAACCATAACATATAAATGTTTATTTTATTTTGTACAGCTCTTTGTTTCTAACGGATCTTGATAAAGTGTACTTACTGACGATAAATTTTATTTTATGAATGAAATATCGTAAGTTTTTATTTTATTTTTATGTCCTTACAATCAATACAACATATTCTTCTTAAATGAACCGAAATTATGCATGTAATAATTATAATAATTCTACTTTTTCACTTGCAAACATTTGCTAAAAATTCGACAATAGACAGTTTGCGCGCGCTTACTAAACTCATTTTCGAAACCTTTTTGTGTATATATTTTATATTGTCTTCCTTTATTTTTCTTACACAATCATACAGATATAACATTTAGCAATTACTAGTAAAAGTATTTACTATGGTATTCCAATAAGAAACATACTATTATTATCTTATTAGAATCTTATTAGAAATCTTGACCGTTACGAATTGTTCGCGTAGAGGTTTTTTATTTCTACTTTTTTATCAATTGAAACATAAAAAGTTACTGTTGTTGTAACTTAAATCATTCAAAAACATTACGTAGTAAAGATAAATAACATTACTTACAGTTTTTTTGAAAGAAAATCCAACTAAAATCACAATCACAAAACTTCAACGATTACGCAACCAAGCGCACCGGCACGCAAAAGCGAATGGCTGTTATATTTGATGATGTCTATGTACCCGAGTGAATATAATGCTACAGAATATTCTTTAGTTCGTTCAGAATCGAATGAAATAGTGTTCAATGGAAAATATACTGTATTTTTATATCAATTAATGACGAAAATAGCAGCACGTAACGCGGACATGTATACATGTCCTCTGTACTTAGCGGTCACAAAACTTGGACCTGTCAACATGTCCACGGTATCTTAGGGGAGGGTTAATATCAAAAATAGCCAAGCTAACGTATTACAGAATAATAAATACCTGTTTCCACGCTAGGTTTTGCTTTGTTCAGAAGGTTTTCATCGACATTTAACTCGATTTCACTCTTGTTAAAATATTTTTCTTTACCATGTCCTGTAGCTAGTTCGATTAAACGTGCTGATCTAATAGATATCGTAAATGTTTTTATAAAGTAAAGGATTAGCAATTAACTGTCGTAAAGAACAAGTTGCAACGCGACGTCCGTTCATACCACTAACGTAGACAGATGTGTAGTCCAGTCAAAATAGACATTTGACTTAGCCAAAATTCGCATAGAGCTAAAAATTGGCAGAGACGTTAAATACATCTTTATAAATAAAATGTCAAAAATCCCCGTCGATCCTACTTCTGCAAAAAATTTAGTTCTAGGTCAAACGTACAAAATTTAGGTTTTTTTCCATTTTTCTCGAAAACGGTAAGTTTTATCGTAAAAATAAGTCAGACAAAAAGTTGTAGATCATACAATTCTCTACAAAAATGGTCCAGTCACTTTTTCTCTTACGACACACCATTCGTAAGATATCGCGGTTTTAACTATGAGAAAATTCATATTTTACATAATATGCACACATTTCCGCACCACCTACGAGGTAATGTACTTGGCGCATTTTTAACCTGGTTTCCCCAGTAGGTATACTCCACGATCTATTGTAATAAAGAAAGTTTGATCGGATCGTATCTTATTGATTGAAACAATGATAATATTGCTAATGATCAAAGTGGAATAGGTTGTTTTCTTCTGAATGTTATTATATTAGATAATTGTTTAATTCCACTTCGACAATTATTTCTTCGTCTTCATTTTCTTCTTCTTGCAGAATTTCTGTTGGCTGTTCTAAGAAAAGGGATGCATCAATCGTTTCTTCATTAATATCATAAATATTTTCATCTGTTGTATTTTTTTCAATATTGGAGCAAGTTTGACCCTGACAATTGATGCATACTGGCGAACAAAATAATCCAACTTTTTGACAGCCACAATTCTTACTACAATCCGTCTTGCATTTACAAAAAATAGCATTAAGCAGTTTTTCTGAAGCAGGCGGGAGTAGAGTTTGAATTGGCTCCAAATAATTATCTGTTAATTTCCAACCCCATCCTTCTGGGTCCAGCTCATTGCCTAGCCACACTTGAACTTGATAATACACACGATACAAGTGTTGAAAGGCAGAAGCAGATGTTGGAGGCAGACAAGACAACTGTACTGTTTTATTGTTCCATGCAGATTTTACAAACCTCAAATATCTATATTTGTCTATGGAATCAATTTTTTTTTTGGAGCACCATACATTGCAAGAAGAAAACGAATTCCATTTGTAACGATGTCGTGTAGAGAAGAGTCAATCTTTGTAAATACTTCTGCGCCATCAATTAAATCATTGCGTTTTTCGAACAATTTAAATTCTGCTATTTTACCTCTTTTTAAAAGTGCTGATGTAGTATCGCATCCAGTTATTGCATGTAAAACTAAAATATGAGCTTGACATTTCGGATTTGCAGTCAGAAACTATAAGCTTTGTGATGAATATATTGTTGATTGTACTTGAGCTTTCCCAGGTTTCAAAAAGTAAATAATTTTATCATTTGGAGTCCGTGCAGTCAGTAATATCAACAAATCAACATCTTCCCTAACAACGACAGTTGTATTTGAACTTTTCCATTGTTCTATTGCTGTTTCAGTTATAAGGACATCAGCATCATTATCAGCTTGTTTTATTGGAATGCCAGCAGCTGTTAATTCTTCACATAACATTGAAATGAAGCGAGACTTATTGTGAGTATTTGCAAGAAATTGTTGTTGGTTTGTTGGAACTTTCATAGATCGATCAAAAACGACATCAACAGATGAAGATGTTTTTGTAGTCCGACGACGTTGTTCTGCAGCTTTAATATTTTTCGTGTGATTAGTATAACCATCAAATACAATCATATTGTTATGACCAAAATGTCTTTGTACATACTGAACATATTTTTCAAAAATAGTTTGAAATGTTTCATCTCGATCCCATACAACACGGTGTAATAGATACCCTCCATCGATGATGTAGATAGCATTTGTGTTATCAATATCGAAGTTTAAACATTCAAAGCAATTATAAAGAGCTGACTTCATAGTTTTACGCATTCCCACTGCATCAAAGAGTGATAATGGGTAAGGAGCTAATTCATATGCGAAGAATGTTTCAAGTTCATCTTCAAATGTCTTAGTAATGCTCATGCGTTGAAATAATAATACAGGATCTATAGGCACCTTTTCATCATGTACTTTTATGACGCTACTTGCACTTAAAAGAGGAAGTACTCTATCAGCGCATTTTAATTTAATATTATTAAACGTTTGGCCAGTCATTTTGCTTATAGAAGCAATTCCAACTGCACGAGCATTATGACAATTAATTTTATCATCGCCGACGACTCCGCTGGCAATGGACATAATTTTTGGAATCACAGGGAACGGATCATGTGATAAGAGCCACTCCAAAAGTTTATTAATATCTTCAATATCTCTCTTTACACGAGAATCGCTTGCATCCACATGCTGGTCTGTTTTGTCCATTCTAACATTAGCGAGATCTTCCAATCCTTTACACACAGTATTCATCGTATGCATGCCATAAACCCATTTACTAATGACACTTTCTTGCGTACTTCTCCCTCGAGCAACACCTCCATCTGTTTTCATACACTTCATCATTGATTGTTCAATCACCATATCCGTCGAAGTTCCACAATTTAATTTATCAGAACGTCTAAAAGTGAAAAATCCTTCGATAAATCTTTGATAAACACTAGGATCCATCAAGTTCTCTAATTGCATCATATCTTGTAGATATAAATGCGCAGACTTGGCATAATTAAAATGTCCTGACGCATGAAGATAAGGAAGCATTTCTTTAACGCAACTCAAATGAGATCGCCAATCTCCCATACGTTCAGCTCTTATAAATTCCTTTGTAATAGACACCATATGAAAATATTGTATCAATAGTTTTGCTGTAGGTCCTCGTTCTCCGTGCTCCTGTAGTTTTTCATTAAACTGATAAAGTAATGCTTCAGCTATTTCATCGCCTTCTTCAATATCATTGTAAGAAATAGTTTTGTTTGTTACAAGTTCAATTGTATTTGCAAATTTTCATCCATCTCACTATCGAGAAGAAGCTCTTTGGATATTACTGTTGCTAAAGTAAGATGAAGCAAGGTGTGTGTATTATCAAGTTCAAGTTGTCTTGTGTTGTTGATTGTAAACATGATTGTAAGCTATTATTGAAAAAAAAATTGTCCCGCGGGTTCTTGAGTTTTGAAGAGGTTTTTTTGGAATGTGACTTTCGATAAGTATTGTTATAATACATTGATAAAAAGTTTGGTAGGGTCGGAGATTGAAGTTGACGAAAACGTGATATTTTGTATTTGAAGAAAATAAGTAGATGGTTGGGTAAAATTTTGTTGATATTAAATAAAATCCAAAACGTAGTATTGTTTAATGGAATATTTATAATTTTTACTGTTCATTTATGTTGCAAAAAATAGATAAGAACACATTTATTTACAGTATCAAACTTAATAAATAATCATAATAACTTAATATAATTTACGTAAAATTCAAATAGAAAACAAATTGACTCAGTCATCGCTGTTACTCGATGGTGGCAGTGCCTGAGGTCGACGGTTGAGGTGAGTCAAAAGTGTCCATTGAACTACCCATTTGATGTTCATGTGTGCCTATAGTCGGAGGTGTAACACACATGCATTCCTCATAGTCATCATCTTTTTCCAAATCGCTCTTATTGAGCAAATTCCAATTGTAGGATATGAAGGCAATTTTGGCTGCTCTCTCACTCGGCAGCCGGTTTCTTTTTTTATTTTGAATGTGGCTGTGTGTAGAAAATGACTGTCCAACTGCAGCAGAAGTGCAAGGTGCTTTGCTTAATGCAGTGGACGCGCATAAGCCGCTCCACCAAGTTGTTGGTTTTATTTCCTTTACATTTTCCCTTAAAAATCTTCGACTCCAAAAGTCCGATCTTGAGGTTATTAGTTTTACATTAGTGTCCTATGGGACACTAATGTAAAACTAATAACCTTGACGCCAGGTTAATCAAATGTTTTGTCCTACCTCGGAAATGAATTCCAATGCTTCTTAATTTCGATTCTGATCAAGCTCTGCTCCTTGTTCAGCAGGGTCCAATAAGTATGCCGCATAATGTATGGGCTTGAGGCACATTTAAATTCTCTAATCGACATTCCCTAGATTTTTTTTTGACGTCGTATTCAACTATTGTTACTTCTGGCAAACAGAAAAGTAGCTTAGATTTCATGTTTTTTAAAGTTAAAAAAACTTAGTGCGAGTTATTGTCATTGAATTCTAGACGTATTATTGCCTCTGTAATGGGTTCCCGTATCAGGCGGCATTGTTTCAACATTGCCAACAAATCTTCATCTAATAATGTTGATTTATCTTCCGGAGGTAAGTTTGTGGCTTTTTCGTGAACAGCCAAGGTCTGAAGGGCCACTTTAGTGTTTTCCATGCTTTTATAACATAAAAAATGACTTCCCCAATGGGTATCGCAGGGTAATTTTAAACTTTCGCAAACATTTTTTTCTTTTACGATTTTATCCGGTTAAGATGTTAGGACCTGACTTTGTCGAATAGTTTTATTATGTTTGTAGCTATATCTTTGAAAGCATTTAACGTATTGATTTTCATAATATTTTACATATCAAATAAAGTGTGTGAGCACTGCAGTTGAGTCCTACTATGTGAGAATGATTTTCTTTGACAAGACGGAATGCCCTCTGCACATTACTCGTGTTGTCTCCAACGAGGGTGGCAAATTTGTGTGGACCATTTACATTTAGGACGTCAGAAATTATATTGTAAATATATTCGCCTGTGTGCCAATGATCTTCTGAGGCTATGCTCTTAACAAATATGGGTTCCGAATTTGATATTAAGATATTAATAACACCTTCATTCCTGCAATTTGACCAGCCATCCAGGAGCAGATGCAAACACTTGCGTCATCAGGTCTTCTTTCAGTTCATGGTGCATGCTGTTATCCTTTTTTTCTAAAATGGTCGTAGAAATTAGGTATTATATATTAGGTAGGTTTTTCTTGACGGCAACTTGTACTGTGGTTGAAGTTTTTCGAAGAAATTTATCCAAAGAGGATGCTGGATGGACCATTGAAAGTGGTGATCCGGTAACATATACAGCTTTGGCTAGTAATGTATGGAGGTTTTCCTTAATTCCATCGAACAGCGGTGTTTGTGGCAAATCTGTAGAGTTTTGAGCATTCTCAGTTGGTACATTTGGCTCCATTGGATTCTCATTTTTTTGTTTTGGGTATTCCTTCCTTCAGATCTAGTTGCTCTTATCTGCCTTTTGCACTCCTCAGGATAGTTGATGCATTTTAGTAAATGTCTCTTTATTTTTGTCAAATGCGCTCTACGATAATGCTTCTCGCAATATTTGCAAGTAGCATATATTATCGTCCATAGAATATATAATAATATAATACAAATATCCATAGTGTCTGATAGAAGTTGTTTCTCCAAAATGACACCAGACTTGGGTATCTTTTGGTCTCCCCATCATGATTATCTAAAACATATTTAAGATAGTTAATGCTGAGTATAAAATTATCGTCAATGCTTTTACTGGTAAAAGTAATGCAAAATTTCAAAAGGAGTGCTTTAATACAAGCCAAGATATTAGGGTCTCTATGTGGGCTGCTAACTTGACGTTTCTGGCGATGCATGGCGATCCCAGGGAAACGGGTATAAGTTTAAAATAACACTGTATGGTTTGTGTTATTTAAATGTGTACACGTAAACACCAAGCCAAAAATTTCTAAACACCTGTCTCTAGACAAAATGTGTCGGTGTTGCTGTTGTTCGCGAATATCACAAAAGTACATAATGTAATGACACTAGTTCACAGCTCGTGATTCACGTGCAATAGGAATAAGGATGCTTTTTGCATTAGATTCCTCTCAGCACATACCAATATATAGTGTTCATAGTTAAAAACGCCATATTTTATAAAATAACTATTCGATTCTGAATTTGAATCATACTTTATTTTATTAAGTTGAAAACAAAAATCGTGAGTATTTTTTTATTTACAGAACATTTTATACTTACAACTTTTATTACGAAGACAAAACCAGTTAAAGCCGAGGTGTGCGGGATCAGATCTCAACAAACAATGCCGGGTCGTTTGTTAACTCACTTTACAATAAAAACAAATTGCAGCGTACACTCAGAAAAACAGAGTACTCAAGTGAACGGGTAGAGAACCGTGCTATGATAACCAATGTCGCCGCGCGCCCCTTGCCCGGCGTTCGCACACACAATATTAAAGCGGCCGTGCCGCACACAACTGGTTTTCCGTGACGAAGTCATTTTTCCCTATTTTTTTTTCGTTTAATAATCCCTACGTGATTTTTTCTGTACAAACATTTAAATTAAGTTCGTATTTCACCTTGCTGTAGCTTTTTTTGTTATCGATTAAAATTGAGTGTAGGGAACAAATTAATTCAATTTCTGCCCGGCATTTATTAAAAACGCCCGGCGTTTCATCATCATCATCATCATTACAGCCCTTCACAAGTCCACTGCTGAACATAGGCCTCCCTCAAGTAATGCCACAAAGCACGGTCCTGAGCCACCTGCATCCATCGACTTCCTGCATATCTTACCAGGTCGTCACTCCATCTAGTGGGGGATCGCCCTACACTACGCCTACCGGTACGAGGCTGCCACTCGAGAACCTTTATTCCCCATCGGTTATCGGTTCTTCGAGCTATATGTCCGGCCCATTGCCACTTCAGCTTATTAATCCGTTGGGCTATGTCGGTCACTCTGGTTTTACTGCGGATATCTTCATTTCTGAGTCTATCACGCAGAGAAACTCCGAGCATAGCCCTCTCCATAGCTCGCTGAGCGACCTTGAGCGTCCTCATACGGCCAGCAGTGAAGGACCACGTCTCAGATCCGTAAGTCATCACTGGCAACACGCACTGGTTGTACAATCTAGTTTTTAGAGATTGAGGTATACCTGACGAGAAGATATGTCGTAATTTCCCAAACGCTGCCCAGCCGAGTTGAATCCGTCGATTGACCTCTCGGTCGAAGTTGGACTTACCTAGTCGGACTATTTGTCCCAGGTAAACGTACTCGTCAACAACTTCGAGCATAGTGCTCCCAACAACTACCGGCATGGGTGTGACATGGACATTAAACATGATCTTTGTTTTGTCCATGTTCATCTTAAGGCCTATCCGTTGGGAGGCACTATTGAGGTCATTGAGCACAGTGTTTAAGTCCTCCAGCGATTCTACCATAAGGACTATATCGTCGGCAAATCGAAGGTGAGTGATGTACTCGCCATTGATGTTAATACCGTATCCTTTCCAGTCCAGTAGCTTGAAAATGTCTTCCAATGCAGCGGTGAAGAGTTTCGGGGATATAACGTCACCCTGTCTTACACCTCTCTGCAGTTGGATAGGTTTCGAGCTCTGGTTCTGTACTCGGATAGCCATCGTAGCCCTACTGTACAAACACTTCAGCACTTCGATATACCGCCAGTCAACTTGGCACCGCTGAAGGGTCTGTAGCACCGCACAAATTTCGACGGAATCAAAGGCTTTCTCATAGTCCACATACGCCAGGCAAAGTGGCAGATTGTACTCTTCAGTCTTCTGTACAATCTGCCGCAGGGTATGTATGTGGTCTATGGTACTGAAGCCTTTTCGGAAACCGGCTTGTTCGGGAGGCTGGAAGTCGTCGAGTCTGCGTGCGAGACGATTCGTAATGACTCTCGAAAACTGCACGTAGATGCGGCTCAGAAGGGATATCGGTCTGTAGTTCTTCAAGAGGGTGTTGTCACCTTTCTTGAAGAACAAGACCGTCGCAATTCTGCTCCACGTCTCTGGAGTAGTGCCACCATGGAGGACGGAATTGAAGAGCTTCTGAAGGACTTCAAGTACCGGTGTTCCACCCGCTTTCAGAAGCTCCGCTGTAATTCCATCCTCGCCTGGGGCCCTGCCGTTTTTAAGGTGCTGGAGAGCCATTCTAATCTCGCTTAGACTGACGTCCGGGATATCATCGGAATAGTGTCGGATAAGACTTGCTCTTGGATCGTTACTCACACTTGCGTGTGGCTCCAACGATGATGTGTACAGCTGCCCATAGAACCTCTCAATCTCACTCAAAATCTCAGGTGTCCCGGAAACGATGCTGCCACACTCAGTCTTCAGCTTTGACAGTTGGCTCTTACTGGCAGACAGATCTCTGGCGAAGACTTGGGAGCTCTGGTTCCGCTCGATCGCTTCTTTAATACGAGCAGTATTAAAGTTGCGTAAGTCTCGCCGCATGCATTTCGAGATCTGTCTGTTCAGTTGCCTGTATGCTGTCAAATCTGTTGACGATTGCAGCCTCATCTCCCGTCTAACAGCCATGAGATTAAGAGTGTGATCGGAGAGTTTTTGTGTTCTTCTGCGGCGGGTCTTGCAGAACTTAGCTCCGACCGTATGGACAGTTTACACGAGCTTGTCATTCATATCGTCCACTGCATTGCAATCTTGTAGGCACTGAAAGCGGTTATGTAACTCGAGCTAAAAGTTTTCGAGATTCTGGATTAGAGCACGAGGGGGACGGAGCGTTGACTTCATTAGACGAGACCTCTCCAACTTAACGTTTAGGTTCAGTGTGCCACTAACCATTCGGTGATCGCTGCCAGTTTTCACCCTTGCGATCACTGAGACATCACTGAACAGTTGGCGTCTGGTCGTCATAATGAAGTCAATCTCATTTTTTGTCGAACCATCGGTGCTCGACCAGGTCCACTTCCTGCGGGGCCCCTTCTGGAAGAAAGAGTTCATCATATTTGTCCCTTTTTCTCCATAAAGTCGGCCAGCTGCTGGCCCCTTCGGTTCCGTTGCCCTACTCCAATTTCCCTAACTTCAGCTCACCGTTTTCTCTTGTGCCTAGTTTTGCGTTGTAGTCTCCCATCAACACCGTGTAGTGGGTTTTGGAGGAATGCATGGCTTTGGAAATATCCTCATACATTTCCCCCACCTCCACATCGGGATGCCGTCGTGACCTTCAGCGAATACCGTTTGGTGATTCTGAGTATCAGGTACGTGACCCTCGTCGACACACTCCCGCCGTCTTTTTGTGTAATTGTTCATGGGGGGGTATATTGCCATAGTTGCCACGCTTGGAGAGCGGGTTGGCAACCGCAGTTTTTTTTGTCGTACAGTTGCTGTTATTAGGAAGATGCTGCTGCCCACCTCCTGCCTGTTTTCCTCTGTCGCCTTTTACGACACCCACGGGAAGATATGGGGTAGTGGATATTCTTAACCGCCACTACACGGCAAATGCCCGCCCGGCCCGGCGTTTATTAGGCTGAAATGGGTTTTAATCCAGTGATGGATTTGAATCCGGGTGTTTACCCGTCCCTAGATCTAGGCCATTGGACAGTTTTCCTAATGCCAGAAGTACTAGCCGTGACCTGTGGAGGACGTTTAATATTTTTATAGCTACTCTAATTTGTCTCTTATTAAGTTTAACAGGTATTATATTATATTATGATCTGTTTTCCCTATGGCTTTGACTTTTTCAGAACGTGGCTTATCTTTTGCTTTTCTTTTCCTAGTAGTTTTCATAAAATTATCACCCCCTTCTTTAATTTCCGGGGCTTTCTCACCTCCTCTTTTTTCTCTAACCTTAACTTTACCTATCTGCAATTTCTCGGCTACATATCCACAAAGAACTTTAAGACGTTTTCTATGGTTTTGTAAGAGTTTTTGCATCAAATTACACCCTCTATCTATATCAAAGACGTTACCTAACCCAGTATTATCGAAAACGACATTATTGAAGGCAAAATATGAAAGAAATTCAAAAGAAATTGTCTTGAAGCGTTGTATGATGTCGTTAGCGATGTTCTTTTGGTTAGGAGTTAAATGCTCATAAGGTAAAACTTTAATATCTTTAGTTTCGATAGCAGAGTATTTAGATTCTGTAAAGTTAAGAGAAGATAAAAAACACTAGGTAAAAGATTAAATTTTCTCCAAAAGTCAATACCTAGTATTAGCGAAGGGAATATTTCAGGGAAAACATAAGCTTTAATCAAATGAGTTTGATTATTGAAAGGTAAGTCAAAATAACCCAAGGAATTAACTTTTTGATTATTAGCAGTAGAGACAGTAATAAGATCTGACTTGAAAAGTTTACAGCCCAGTTTAAGAATTTCCAAATGAGAATTATTACCCACAATAGTTACTGAGCTGCCAGAATCTAGTAAACCAGATAAAGTTAAGTAATTTGACATTAACGAATGGACGATTAAGATCTTGTTCTTTAGAGTAGAGTGTAGAAGAGATTTTGTAACAAGAAAAGAAGTTTTGAATTGTTTTAATCCAACTAGTCCAATCGTCATTATCAAAGTTTAAGTTACTTTTCAAGTCAGCAGTTAGTTTTTTGAACTAGTATGTGGTTTGGGAGAACAAGTAGGGCAATCTGCAGTTTTAAAACCTTTAAGACCGCATTTGAAACAAATCACGAATCGTGGTTGAGTACAAGTATTCAAAGTATGACCTTGTTTACGACAGCGAACACAAAAAGAGCTTTCTTGAGGAGCTTTAGTTTGAGAGAGACTTATTAACTTGTCTAGAATGGTATTTGTAGGATGAAGTGAATTTATTCATGAAGGGAGGAGAAGGTCGTGAGATATTAGAAGAATTTGGAGAGTCAACTGAACTTGAAGTGGAATGCTTGTAGTTGAATTCAGAAATAAGAGGACTTTGTTGTACATTTGGTTCTTTAAATTGTTTGTCTTGTCTATTTCTGTTTTGGCAAGTAGCCAGAAGAGAGTCGATAGAGTCAATGTCTTTTAGAGCTACGAAGACTGAATAATATGGGCGAATATTCCTCAAAATAATCTCCAATTGTTCTGTTTCAGAAAGTTTCTTCGAAAGACGAGAGAACATTCCAGACATGATGGAAATATAGATGACGATAGGTTCATCACGGCCTTGAGTTCGATTTCTAATCGCTTCTAGAAGTTTATGATCATAATCAAAACCACCAAATTCTTTGATTAATAAAGAGGAAAGTTCGTTCAAGTTAAGTTTGGATTCTGATTATATTTAAATCTGAACCAATGAAGAGCATTGTCGGTGAAAATTTCGAACGCTTGAGAAATCAACAAGTCTTTGGACAAACCACGAGCTAAGCAGTATTCTTCAAGTTTTTGAAGAAAGGATCTTGGACAGCTTTTACCATTAAAGGTGTGTCTTTTCAGATCTTTGAAGACGTTAGTTGGAGAAAAAGATTGAGGTGGTGGTGAAGGATACGGGGTATGGATCTTAACAGAAGTTTGAGAAACAAGAGGAGGTTCCATGACAGTCGGGTCAACAGGAGGGTCAAGTGATGGAGAGTCATTTTCAGTTGGAGGTGGAGTCAAGGATTCGAATTGTTTAGTAATAGCATCAAATTTCATCTTCAAAGTATCGAAACTAGCTTTAAAGTCTGGATATAAGTCAGTATCTATTCGCTCCAATCTGTAAAAAACATGATTAATAAAAGTTTCTATTAGTCGTAAGTATTTGGTTTCACCTTGTAAACATTTTTCAATTTTACAATCCAGGTAGGTCAAAGTAGAACTAATTTGAGACAAGTCATCCTCGATCGGAATTGGAGAAGTCAGAATATCTTCAGGGTGAGAATTCTCAACTAAACGCAAAACCTGTTTTTTTAGAAGCAAAACAGTATTAGCTGGTTCCTCACATCTAATCTTCACTTCGTATTCGAGTTCGGCCTTGTTAAGGAATTCGTACTTAATAACCCTTTTCATTGTTATAATTAAGTGCAAAGTTAAGTTTAAGAAATAAAAATTTAATTAAAAATTGTACCTCTTAAAGTTATCTAGAATAAAAATATTAAAGTGATGAATGTAAGTGAAGTGTTATGTGTAGGTCTAAATATAATCCAGATAAGTTGAAAAACTAGATGAAGTTTTGTTTTAGAATTTGGAAGATATAAAAAGGATGAGTAAATAAAGAGTTAAGAACGAAAGAGAAAGCAATTAAGTCAAAAGTAAATGGATAAGGCGCAGTAAAGGTGAAGAAAGAGAAAAAAAATTAAGAGGGAAAGAGAATTTTTACGTTGGGCGCCAAAAATGTCGTGAAGCCAATTACACAATTAAAAAACTAAAGAACCTAACCTAACAACAACGAAACAACAAAAATAGAACAAAAACGAATAATTTATTTAAAATTTTAAAAGATATTTACAGTTTTATATAAAAAAATATTAAGATGATGATGGGTGACGTGAATTACAATTATTTTTTTTTAAAAATAACAAAGATAAATGAGTACTAAAACGGAGCCCGAAGACCAAGGTGGCACACCGCGCTTGGCAGTGGTGCTCACTGCTCACGGAGTATGCACAGGCTATGCGTGTGGTAGGTGCACGCAGCGCCTGATCTAGGCACACGCAGCGTCTGGAGTAGGCACACGCAGCGCCCGGAGTAGGCGCACACGCAGCGCCCGGAGTAGGCACACGCAGCGCCCGGAGTAGGCACACGCAGCGCCCGGAGTAGGCACACGCAGCGCCCGGAGTAGGTACACACAGCGCTAGTAGGTGGAGGCGTAGGCGTGGCTAGGCGACGACTTCAAGTGAAGGCAGAGGCTTGCAGGATCCCGGTGCAGTGCGGCCCCGGGATGAGGCCTTTAGGAGATGCTTCTAGTTTGAAAGCTGAAGCGAGACTGCCTTTATTGGCCGATTGTTCGGCTTTTATACTTTTTTTAGAGAGCTCCGCGCTCGACGACGGATCTGAGATAAGAACGGGAAATTATTTAAATTAAAAGCAAATTTTTGTAAATGGCCAAGAAGAAAAGACTATTTTTGTGTGTAAAATGATATGTAAGTAGCATAACACTACAATCCATCATATCGATTTAAAAAAAACCTATCTAAGAACACTCGGGTGTGTGAGACGAATCACAGGAAACCATATTTTTCCAAATAAGCACCACATTATCGATATTAAGTATAGTGCACAACACTACGTCAAGCCGCCATCTTTGTGCCAGACTCAATTTAGGTATACACGTTTTTTTCGTATGTATGTCATGTCCTTTCTTTTTTCTCTATTAAAAGTACAAATCTTATATAGAACTGGCGTAGTACCATAAATATACTTAATACAATATAGTGTCTACATTGCACATGAGATGGCGTTACTAGTAGCAAAATACAAATAAGAAGTACTTTTATTATTTTGATACATTGATATAACAATTTTTAATTTATTTGCGTCGCTTTCTGATTTAATCCAAGTCTCTGTTAGTAATATTAAATGTATACTATACTTAAAGGATTTAATAATGCATCTTAGTTCGTCAATTTTTCCCGGTTTTAGTAAACTTCTAACATTTGCGTAAAAGAATTTTAGTGATGAGAAAGTCATTATAACATAGCCATAGTCATGAGAAATCTGGTAGGTAAGTGGTTCGCTTATAGGTGGTTCTAACATCACTTGCTGCAATTGAGTTTGATCCCAGTAAATGAGTATATTTTTAGTGTTCGTTAATGTACGCTTACGTAGTATATAGTTCGCAGTCTTGCGAATCAAAACATACCTTAATATTTCGATTTTTACCTGGAATATTTGGGCAGTTTTCATAGATACTCATAATTATTTTAGAAACCTCCTGCGTATCGTGTTCGCGTCTGTTTTTAGAGTTTTTAACATTTAATTCAGGTATACCCGCAATTATAATATTTTTCTGCCGATTGCACCGATCTTGTATTTATAGGGTGATGGTCTCGTAGCTAAGCGGCAGCGGGTTATCGAGCGAAGAGGGGCTGTTGGTATTTCTATATGTCTTTATATCACTCTCGAGTTGGATAATTTTTCCTGGATAGTGAAGTTTTGCAGTCTCATATTTTCCAATTCATTTCTTATAGTATGGTGTTAAGTAATTAAACTTTCCGTAGCACTTTTAATTTCTTGAATTTCTTGTTTAATTTCTCTCATTTCTTGACAAATTTTCTTCTTCTAATAATATTTTTTTATTATGAGTAATTTTTTTACCAAGTTTTCTCTTTCTGATATTAGATAAAGTCAAATCAATTTTCCCCGTGAAAGTCGATGCTACCGGGTTGACCGGGTGGTAATAGTCAAAAAAATTTAAATCAATTTCTGGTTTGAAATAAGACCGTTTCGGTGTCTGAAAATGATAAATATACATCGTGAGTTTTATCTATTACATGCAATTGAATTTTTCTCAAATCAGTGTAAGCACGATTATATGGACTGAATTTTATTTCAGATAAAATAGTTACTTTTTCTCCACCTGACTTAGATGTAGACTCGAATTCTGGTGTTTGATTCATAGTAGGTTCTGGTGAAGGTACTGGGTTTTGAAATTCGCATTCTAATCCAGATGTAGTATGATTCAGAGCCTCAGCCTTTAGTTTCTTTATTATACCTTTTTTATTCGATTTTCTTTCTTTCATTGGTTTCTTTGACATCAAGTTTTCTATTTCTTCAGAAGAAACTGATGTACCGGGTTCAACAATACTGACTTTTTTATTTATTGTTTTCTTAAGAGGATTTACAGACCGGTTAGCTTTTAGATAATCCAAAAGTGCGGTGTCTACTTTATATTTATTTTCTTCATCACATTCAGGAAGCTTCCTTAATTTTTTTCAGGGTTAAAAGGGACTATATCCCTGTAGCCCTAAACCCAGAAATTATATTTTCCTTTCTTGTGCATCTATGAGAAATTTAAGTAATAATGGGAAATGAGTTTTATTTAACTGACTTTCTGATGGATTTTCATATTTGTAGGTAGTTAAAATCTGACGCCATTTTTAGTGGACCAAAAAATGCGACATCTAAAGGTTGTGTAACGTGCGTAGAATTAGGAGGCAGAAATGTGAACCTTATATTTTTTCTTCACATAGGCGTATTATATTCTCGCTTAAATGGCTAGAAAGGTTATCACTAATAACCACTTTGGGGCCTTGTAGCTTTTCAACCCAAGGTATAACGATTGTCTGGAACCAATCTTCAAAAACAGTGGAATCGAACCAGCCGGATTTAGTTCGATTATATCTGCTACCGTTTTGTCCATTTTGACACCATGACGTCCACAAATGCTCTGCTTTATAAACAGTATAAGTTGGCAAGAGTATTCCATCTGTTGCCGCTGCAAACATAATCGACCCTTGGTGTGATTGAGAGCTCTTTCAGGATATTTTACTTCGCGCTTAAAAATGCATTTTGATGATCCGGGATTATCTGAGAGATTTGTTTCATCGTAATTTAATATATTACTTGCAGGTATGTCTTTTAAGGTATCTTTTAGATTTGCGAAATAAAATTCATCGACAATTTTTGCATCGCGAACTTTTTTGATATTTTGTGCCGCTCGGGTTGTTAGTTTATCCTTATGGCGAGTTAGGAAATTACTTATCCACCATTTACCTGGCGGTTTGTTATTAAAGGTGTTGTTTATTGTTTCCTTTCAAGTAATTAAATACAACAAAACTTAAATCTAATCGTGAGAGGGGAGCGCCAAAATCACCTGCTGCTATTAAAACTTTTACTATCATTTTTTCTTCAGGATAGGTAAGTCTTTGTTGGCCCCCTGGCTTTTTATTATGTTTATTTTTTACTTTATTTTTGATAGTTCGCCGTGGTATGTGGAATCGTTTTGAGGCTTCTACTTTTTACTAGGTCTACGGCAACTTCTAACATTTCGGTAGAATAATTTTTGTATGTGGACCGATGTGTTAAACTGAAATCTTCCATGTTCCAAAATAATAAAAACAAATATATGAATGCGTTATACGAATAATAATTGTGTACGCGATCCGCGCATATTGCACTTTCAGTAAGGCACGGACATAATTGGCAAAAAAAAATTAAAATAGGTATGCCAAAGGAGACAAAGACGCATAACAAGTTAAAAGTACAAAGGTGTGATATGTTTTGGTATAGTTCGTATAAGAAATTAAAGATTTTAATTCTGAATGAAAATATTCAGCTTCAACTTTACTTTTACATAAAGATTCGCGGAATAACCTAATGTATAAAAATAATAAAACTGATCTATTTATTTTAAAAAATGTGGCAGCCCTAACCTCTCACTAAATATGGCAAAGTTAACATCACGATCTGGTTTACACTGGATGTTGAATTTTCCAACACTAATTGCAAAATTCTTGTAGCTTGCAGCACTACAAATCAATATGATTTAAATAAAAGAACCTTAGTTTAATGTAATGTTAAAAATATACTTACGTAGACAAAGTTTATCCTAATTATTTAATTAAAAGTTTGGGAGCACTCTTTTTTCCTCGTTTGGCAACTTCCTATGGATTCTGCCAGCGTCAAGTTTCATTAAAATCACACAGAGTATTCGACTAGTTTACGTTTCCGTAGAAATGCTTACTTAGCTTTATGATACGAAGTTACATAGGTAGTTATTTTCAAATGAATTAACATATAGTGGTTTTACAAAATTATTGCTAATATAATAAATAATAAAATGGATATAGGTAAGGGGTAAAAGTACTATAATTTGATGTTATTATTCATAATTCATAATTATTTATTTGCATAGAATGTAGGTAGATATTACAATAGTATTATTAAATAATGAAAGTCGAGGCGTGCAAATTTTGACTAATTATATATAACAATTTTTTTCAATGAATTTAACTTATTTACAAATATCAAAATGTTCATATGTAAAAACAGTAAAATTAACTAACTAATAATTATTCTATAACTATCAAAGTCCAAAGCAAAAAAATTCAAGCATTTTTGGATACAGTTTTTAAATATGTAATTTGTTTTGATTTTTGTGATCAAGATACTCATTAACAGTATAGAAACAATTAAGTAAAAGCTATTCATGAAGTTGGTTTTTTAACTTTGTCACTGGGAAATTTTTAAACTCGTCGGGTAAAGAGTTAAAGATTTTAATCGCCATTATATATGAATTTTTTTGGAAGAGCATCAATTTACATTTTGGAAAGTATATTCTGTTATTAGATTTTTCTCTTAAACTTCTATCTCTTAAAAAGTTATTACTTGGGAAGTATTCAGGGAATTGTTTGACAAAAATCGCCGCTTGTTTTATATACATACATGCGAGTGGCAGCACTTTTATTTCTTTAAATAACGGTTTGCACGATGTCATGGAATGTGCTCCACAGATTGCTCGAATGCATTTTTTTTTGGATTTTAAATACGCGTTCTATTTCAGAACAGTTGCCCCATATTAGAAGTCCGTACTGCAATATCGATGAAACATAGCCATGATAGGCGTTTAAGGCTGCTTTGGCAGATGCTATTTCTCGAAGTCGGCGAAGTGCAAATACAAATCTGTTTAATTTGTCACATATCGATTGAACATGCCTTTTCCAATTACAATTATTGTCAATAGTGATACCAAGAAATTTATAATAATCAACTTCTTGTAGCACTTTTTCATTGTACATTATATTTAAATTAATTTGCTTACTTCCAGTTGTATGAAATTGCATTATTTTAGTTTTATTTATATTTACAGTCATATTGTTACAATTTAACCAATCAATTATATGTTTTAGTGTACTATTGATATCAAGTTCAAAAATCTTTTTATTCCACCTTTAATAAAGGTCTCAGCGAAGCAAATGATTTGAATATATTTGTTACTATAAGCTAGTTCATTTAAACTTACTACAATTAAATCTTGTTTATTTAAAACTCCTGCAATATTTTGATGTAAAAGAAGTAGTTTCTGATTAGGCTGGTTTTTATCGAAAAAGCATTTTTTTATTACTTGATGAGGAACCTATGCAGCGGTTCGCTACAGGATTATTTATATTAACGTTACAAGTATGCAAAGGCCCGTCCGTTGACTTCAAATTCTTCATTTTCATTTTTTCGAAGAAATATTCGATGGTACCCTTCTTATAATTAATAACTTCATGAACTTTTTGATTTTTTATAAGTTGTTTTTTTGAAATAATAAGGTATCGTTCCCTTCTTTGGTTCGTTTAATAACGAAGTTCTATCTACAATTTTTTCAGCCAAGTTATTTAGCCTACTTTTCTGCACTATAAATTGTTTATCATACTCGTGACTATCTATAGACATGTTAATAGAATAACACAGGTAATTTATGTAATTGGTTTTTGAATTTATATTGCAGTATTTGTAATCAATGTCAATAAGCCTACAATTTTTGTGATTTTGAGTCAATATTTTATACATATTATTTATCATTTTTTCATTTAAATACAAATTACCTAGTACAGGTAATAAATAAACATTAGTTTTGCGGAGTTTACACAAAGCAACGCTAAGATTAGAATATATATTATACGGATTTTTGTCATGGCTCCCAACACACAATATAACATAGTCACTTAATGTTACTGTATCTTCAAGTTGGTTGCAATGCATTAAAATATCACATGAAGAAGCGTTTGGTTTTATTATAGCTAATGGCATATACTTATTATTCCATTTTCCTTCTCTTGATTTGTATAAAGCTGAAGATAAACCCGACGTATTTTCATCCCCAAGAATTGTGATCGTATTCTTTTTATTATTAGGTTTTGCCTCCGTATATGTTGCTAAAGGTGAAGGGGACATAAGTGTTTTATTGGATTAATGGATATGAAGTCTGATAAAGTTTGTACAAAAGGAGTATAAACTAAATTTAACAAGACTTAAGATTTATAGGGCGATAGGATGTTATTAGGAAGGAAATTGTATAGTGAAACGGAGAGGTTAGGGCAGTTAAGAAATTTATGATCGATCGTACCTTCGTCTAATCCACACTCACAAATTGAGCTATCTTTAATCTTAAATTTTGTCAAAAATACAGGTGAAGAAGTGTCATCATCATCATCATTACAGCCCTTCACAAGTCCACTGCTGAACATAGTCCTCCCCCAAGTAATGCCACAAAGCACGGTCCTGAGCCACCTGCATCCATCGACTTGCAGCATGTCTTACCTGGTCGTCACTCCATCTAGTGGAGGATCGCCCTACACTACGCCTACCGGTACGAGGCTGCCACTCGAAAACCTTTCTTCCCCATCGGTTATCGGTTCCTCGAGCTATATGGCCGGCCCATTGCCACTTCAGCTTACTAATCCGTTGGGCTATGTCGGTCACTATGGTTTTACTGCGGATCTCATTTCTGAGTATCACGCAGAGAAACTCCGAGCATAGTCCCCTCCATAGCTCGCTGAGCGACCTTGAGCGTCCTCATACGGCCAGCAGTGAAGGACCACGTCTCAGATCCGTAAGTCATCACTGGAACGAGAAAAAAGTTTTAAACAACACCTTTAACAACAAACCGCCAGGTAAATGGTGGATAAGTAATTTCCTAACTCGCCATAAGGATAAACTAACAACCCGAGCGGCACAAAATATCAAAAAAGAAAAGAATTTGTCATGAATCGTACTTAATTCATTCGAAGTATCATTACTATGTTTTCTTTTC